TGGGTTAGAATACAGTGGCACAATCACAGTTTACTGCACCCTTAATCCCCCAGGCTCAAGCGATCCTCCCACCCAGCCTCCCATATAGAGTAGCTGGGACCATGCCCTGCTAAATTTGTGTTTTGTTGAGACAAGGGCTTACTATGTTGCCCAGGTTGGTCTTGAACTCCTGGGCTCAAGTAATCCTCCTGCTTTGGCTTTCCAAAGTGCTGGGATTACATGTGTGAGCCACCACACCCAGCAAAATCATTCTTAAAAGTAGTAAAAAGTGACATATGTTCCACTCCAGCTTCCTCTTCTAAACATGGCAAGTACATCACATCAAGCATGGCTTCCAGTTCTTGGGCGCTTACTGTGTGCATGCACTGTGTTAATGCTTTACTGATACCCCCATTTAATCCTCATCAGAACCCTTGAGAGGTCTTGTTATCCCTGTTTACAGATAAGGACTTGAGACTTGGAAAGTTCAAGATACTTCCCCCAGTCACCCAGATCATGAGTTGCATAGCTGGATTCTTCCTCAGTGTTTATGACTCCTAAGGCCACATTCATAATAGGCCTTGGTAATGACATTTAACTTGGGAAGTGGTGTTGTAAAGTCAGATTGTCTTGGAGTCAGGAAGTATGAATCCTATGTTTTCTCTATTCCATGACCTTTGACAAGTAACCTGGCTTCTGTGTGCCTTTATTTCTTCCTCTGTTGGAGAGAGTAATAATATTTGCTCTATTGTGTGTGCGTAGGCATATTAAATGAGATCATGTGTGTGACGAGCTTAGCACATTATGTGCTGAAAGGTGTTGGTTCACATTCTTTTCAATATATTGCAGCACTAAGAATGAAGTAGTTTCCTTTATTGGGAGAGAGAAGAAAGATAGTGGTATACCAAAAATAGTTCATTTGTGGTAATTTGCTACAAAGATTCTTGATTAATACATGCAGACGTGCCCTTGAACTGGCAGTGCCATTGTAGAGGTCTCTTTTGATGATGAAAGAGATAAAGAGGGGAAAGGAAAAAAAGAAGCCTTCTGGAGCTCATATTTCTATTCTTCTTTAGGCATCAGCCATAATAACAAATGGTGACTTTGAAGGTGCTCTAGCTTTATTTTTATTTTTAGGACAGTCTTTTAGTAGACTACAGTAAACCAGTATAGCACAGTGGTTGAGTATAGATAGACTGCCCAGGTTTAAATTCTAACTCTACCACTTACTGGGTGAATGACCTAGGACAATTTATCTTATCTCTCAAGATCTCTTTAAAATAAAAGTAAAGCCTATCTCTTATGGCTGCTGTGAGAATTAAATGCGGTAATAGAAGAAGTATGCTTAGCAGAGTACCTGGCAGGGAACGAAAGCTCTGTGAATGTCCATTATGTTTTTGATTCGAATTGCCTCCTGAGGAATGAGAGGTATAGGGGTGTCGGGGTGTGTGTATTGTGCTGCAGCTGTGGCATCCAGCAGAATACTACCAAAGAGTTGGCAGGTCCAGAATGTTAGGCCAACTGGGATTAGTACAGTATTTAACAGTGAACATTAGTGAATTTTTATCCATACTCAAATCTGTGTTAGGTACTACAGATATCTTATTACTTCATTACTTCTAATTCTCTTTCTTTCTTTCCTTTCTTTCCCCTCCCTCTCTCCCTCCCTCCCTTCCTTCCTTCCTTCCTTCCTTCCCTTTCAATTTTTACCCCGTCTTTTCCCAGGTGTTGACCAAGTTACTTCTACTTTAAAAGATCAGTTAAGTGAGGGCCAGAGATTCTTCCAAGGTCATGCAGAAAACAAAGGGGGAGCATCTCCATTCAGACACTGGCCCTTCTGAGGCCACATGCTTGGTCCTGTCCTGATACCCAGCTCCTCCAAGGGGCAAATGTCAGATACTCTACCCTAAAATGTGCCTGACTTCATTTTTTAAAAATCAGCTATATTGAGTTTTAGTTTACATGCAATAATAAGCACCCGTTTTAAGCATATGATCTGATCAGTTTTGACATATGTAAATACCCTGTGTAGCCACCACTAAAATCAAAATGTGGACATTTTCATCACACCAAAAGATTTATCATGCCTGTTTGCGCTCCTTCCCACCCAATCCCAAACAACCACTGATCTACTTCCTGTCAATATAGATTCATTTAGTGTTTTCTGGAATCTCCTATAATTGTAAGTACATAGCAGGTATGCTCTTGTGCCTAAGCTCGTATCTGGCTTTGGATGCTTAGAAAATCTGGCATCTTTTGGTCTAGTTCTCTTATTCTTAGACTGCGAGATGCAAACTAAGGCATTTTGAGGCAAAACCTCTGCACCATTCTGATTAAGGCAAGGATGCAGATCCACCCCCTTCCTCTTCATCAGAATCTACACAGGCCTCTGTACTTGGGGTTTCTTGATGTGACTGGACTTACTATTCTGACTTGAAGGCAGACAAGATGGGGCCACTGTGGGAGAAAAATGACATCACACTTCCTAATCCTCCCACTATGCCATGAGGGACTGGGTAGCATTATCCTTTGTGTTAAAGTGAGATACTGCTTATAGGACCATAAACTATCTGAGTTATTGTCTTCAAACCCAGCAGGGAACAGGAGCCGGACTCCAACCCCAAGGACAGCAGCAGGACGTGAGCAGGGCTCTCAAGCCCTTTATCACTTAACTTTTCTGAGTCTCAGTTTTTTCATACCTATGTGTATCCTATGACCAACCTGTTCTCACCCTTGGCTATTTTATTTCCCCGATTTTATTTTATTTTTATTTCTTATTTTTTTCTTTTTGGTGGGGAGAGGGGCTCAGGGGATAGGGTCTTGCTCTGTTGCCCAGGCTGCAGTACAGTGGCATGATCATAGCTCACTGTAGCTTCCTGGGCTCAAGCAATCCTCCTACCTTGGCCTCCATAGTAGCTACGACTATGGGCATGCATCACCACACCTGGCTAATTTTCAAAATTTTTTTGTAGAGAAAAGTTCTCGCTGTGTGTGTTGCGCAGGCTAGTTTTGAACCTGTGGCCTCAAGTGATCCTCCCACCTCAGCCTCCTAAAGTGCTGGGATTTACAGGCACTTTAGGAGACTGAGGCAGTGCCACCACGCCTGGCCATTTCCACTATTTTATACAGATATGAAATAGGAAATGAAAATCTAAATGAAAAATGACTGGAAAAAAAAGCAGTATATATAATGAGTATAGTGCAAATAAATGTATTGGCAGAATTTAATCTCACAGAGAAATTGAAATAAGGTTAGGGAAGTGAATGCAATTGTTGAATGTGGTGAATCAGATGTGATGCTGTATTTCTAGCCAGCACATCCTATTTCCTAGGAAAATGACACTCACCTTTGTTCCCCACTGTTTTTGCCTTTAGCTGTATCAGCAGTGCCTGGGCCTGGGCCTCAGAGGGAATGAAATCCACAGCGGACCTGCATCAGTGAGTTCTCCCACCCTGGCCTTTCTCCAACTCTAAAGGGAGTCATAAATATTTAAAGTGGGTGTGCTACAAATATTCCACTTCCAGCTTGCATTGAATTGATGTGCCAGAACACACTACTTCGTTTCCCCAGAAAGTAATTTGGAAAGTAGATATAAACCCTGATATTATGCTTCTGTGTCTTTTATGTTTTATTTCCAGAAAACTTGGCAAAGCAATTGAATTGGAAGCAATAAAACCGACTTATCAAGTCCTAAATGTACAAGAGAAGAAGAGAAAATCAGTGAGTCCAAACCTTTCTTTACTTTTCCTGTTTAAAGCAAGATTCCTGTGTTTAGCCCAGAAAGGAAAAGGTGATCTGAACGTGGTACCAGGTTTCAGGAATTTATCCTAAAAATAAAATAAATACTTGTATTTATTTTAAAATAAATGAATAATAAAAAACACAAATCCAAGATTTATGTACAAGGATGTTTGTTAGAGCATTGCTTATAATAGTGAAAAACTGGAAACTACTGAATCATTCAAAATAAATTGTGATAAATTCAAGCAATAGAATAATTTGCAACCATTCAAAATCTTATTGTAGAAGAATTTAATCACATGGGGATTGTTTTTCACAGTATACTGTTAAATAAAGCAGAACAAAAAA